AATGACCATTTTAAGGACCACCCTAATATATATATATATATATATATATATATATATCTTAATAAAATTTATCGTTTACATTTAATTCGACACTGAAGCGACAGTAAAAATATTCGAATCGAGTTTGACTCGCCGTCGTCCTATATAAATCGCGCGTTGAAAATCCCTCTTAGGATTTTTCGTGTACACATTTAAGTAGATAGGTGTATATGTATATGTTTGTATATATTTGTGTATATATATACAGAAATGTCTGTCAATATAATAACACGCACGTGTGTGTGTATATTTTCGTGTGTCGGAGGTGTCGTGTTTGCTCAGACAAATTGACAGCGCGGAATAAATGCGAGCGAGCAGAATTAGAGGGCGGCAAAGGCAATGTAAACACAAATATACAGAATATACTTATAACGAATATATTATAATACTGGATCTAGGGTACGACGGGGTAATAGGGACACCTGGTAACATACATTTATATAAGAAATTCAGTCAGAAAATTGTCTGAGTCTCGTAGTTTATCTCTTAAAAAATCAATCCCTTTAGAAGATAAGAATGCATCTCTGTGCATATAATCGACACATGGGTTTTGTGTACTAATTTGTTTCCCAAGAAGCATCAGACCCCAAAGATATTTGATATTTCTATATGATTTTTGATATTTCTATATGAGATTTTTTAGAATAAAATTTGGCATTGAAATCTCCACCTAGAGTAAATGGTATTTTATTGAATTTAGCATTCAAGGCTCGCAAAAATTTGGTCAAATTTTGGTGGATAACTGTAATATTACCTACTTGAGTAATTTCATTAACAATATCAATAAAAAGTTTACATAGGAGTCTGTTCTAAAATGTTTTTGTTTATAACACAGAAATAACTCTGAATATCTCTGAATTTTGTAATAATTTACCCTTAGAATCAGGGAAACGAGGTTGCTTTGACGTTGAACAGCAAGAATGAAATATTTTTAGAATTTTAGTCGAAATTAGAATTAAAATCCGAATCATTTCCCGCCAGTAGAGTCCTTTTTGTAGCCTAGTTTAATTTGTTCATCAGTAGAGTTCTTTTTTACCCAGATTTTTGGCGGGTTTAATATTTTATCGTCAGTAGAGTTCCTTTTCTAATTTTCTGTCGAAATATTTAGTTTGCTTGTCAGTAGAGTCCTTTTTGATATAGATTTTTAATTTGGTCGTCAGTAGAGTCCTTTTTCATAATCTAGTTTAGTTTGGTCGTCAGTAGAGTCCTTTTTTATAACCTAGTTTAATTTGCTCGTCAGTAGAGTCCTTTTTGACCAAGATTTTTGGCGGGTTTAATGTTTGATCGTCAGTAGAGTCCCTATCTATAGCCTAGTTTAATTTGCTCGTCAGTAGAGTCCTTTTTTATAGCCTAGTTCGATTTGCTCGTCAGTAGAGTCCTTTTTGACCAAGACTTTTATCAGGTTTAATGTTTGTTCGTCAGTAGAGTTCTTTTTATACCTTAGTTTAATTTGCTCATCAGTAGAATCTATTTTGACCAGGATTTTTGTTGGGTTTAATGTTTACTCGTCAGTAGAGTCCTTTTTGTAGTCTAGTTTAATTTGCTCATCAGTAGAGTCTATTTTGACCAAGATTTTTTGTCGGGTTTAATATTTGCTCGTCAGTAGAGTTCTTTTTTATATTCTAGTTTAATTTGGTCGTCAGTAGAGTCCTTTCTGACCAAGATTTTTATTAGGTTCAATGTTTGTTCGTCAGTAGAGTCCTTTTTATAGCCTAGTTCAATTTGCTCGTCAGTACAGTCTATTTTGACCAAGATTTTTTGTCGGGTTTAATATTTGCTCGTCAGTAGAGTCCTTTTTTATAGCCTAGTTTAATTTGCTCGTCAGTAGAGTCCTTTCTTACAGCCTAGTTCAATTTGCTCGTCAGTACAGTCCTTTTTGGACAAGATTTTTGTCGGATTTAATGTTTGGTCGTCAGTAGAGTTCTTTTTATAGTCTAGTTTAATTTCCTTATCAGTAGATTCTTTTTTGACCAGGATTTTTAAAGAGTTTAATGTTTGGTCGTCAGTAGAGTCTTTTTTATAGTCTAGTTTAATTTGCTCGTCAGTAGAGTTCTTTTTGACCAAGATTTTTATTAGGTTCAATGTTTGTTCGTCAGTAGAGTCCTCTTTCTATAGCCTAGTTTAATTTGGTCGTCAGTAGAGTCCTTTTTGGCTAAGATTTTTGTCGGGTTTGATGTTTAGTCGTCAGTAGAGTGCTTTTGTATAGCCTAGTTTAATTTGCTCGTCAGTAGAGTTCTTTTTTATAGTCTAGTTAAATTTTCTAGTCAGTAGAGTTCTTTCTGACCAAGATTTTTGTTAGATTTAATGTTTGCTCGTCAGTAGAGTTCTTTTTTATATTCTAGTTTAATTTGGTCGTCAGTAGTGTCTATTTTAACCGAGATTTTTGTCGGGTTTAATGTTTGGTCGTCAGTAGAGTCCTTTTTTGTAGCCTAGTTTAATTTGCTTATCACTAGAGTCTATTTTGACCAAGATTTTTAGCGGGTTTAATGTTTGGTCGTCAGTAGAGTCCTTTTTTTATAGCCTAGTTCAATTTGGTCGCCAGTAGAGTCCTTTTTTTATAGCCTAGTTCAATTTGGTCGCCAGTAGAGTCCTTTTCTCTTTATATCTTAAATTAATTTGCTAGTTAGCAGACTCTTGCATAAAAACTAGTGGTCTATGGCATCGTGCCTTGAGGCAAATTGCTGGAACTTTCCGTACCATAAATTTTTTTTCGAGGAATATCAAATATTAAATGTTTTAGTATTTTATAGACAAAATATAATAAGTTATATATTGGACGACAACGTTCGTATTATGTTTACATGAAAAGTGAATAAACAAAACTTAATCAAGCGGAATTAGAATAAAGGACCTTATCTCATATTTCTAAAAATTATATAAACTACCCTCCAAGGTTAAAATTAATTATTTCTAGTATATTAGTAAGCTTTATTTATTTATTTTTATATTAATATTACGGATACAGGATTAAATTTAATAATTACAGAAAATAAATTATCTTAATTGAATTAATCACAGTAAAAATACAACTATGAAACAATATTAAGCCTAACATTAGTATTATTTAATACAATAACTTGAAGAAAAAAATGTTATAAAATTCGAATAGTTTATTTAAGGCTTGTAGATCTTGAGATTCTTCTTATGGTAAAAAAAATCTTTTAAATATCCGTTATGCAATTTTTATTTGAGTTCCATATCTGGAAAATGATAATTAAGAGAAGTATCAAAAAAGAATATATAACATGAAAATAATTGTAATGATAAAATACTTAGGGTAGAAAAATGTTAAAATAATTTAGAACAAAAATTAAAAAAAGTATAGAAAAGGGAAAAAATAATTGTAATTGTTGGAAAAAAAATATCTATTTAGAATTTTAGCTAGAATTAAAATTAAAAACCGAATTATTTTCGATCTGTCAACTTTCGCCCCGGTCTCCACCTGCCAAGGCAACATATACGTCTTGTTGTTTGGGACGTCTATGGGTTTTTCTCGACTGTCGGCTCTCATCGACGAAAAATTCGAGTCTGAATGGAGGCTGCAAACGAGATTTCGAATTGAAAAATATACAATCAGGGAATTTTAGGAAGACCGCGCACGTCTCTCCACCGTACGTGTTAATATATGGAAGAATTTGGGAAACGGGAATCGAGGATAGGAATTATATATATATATATATATATATATATATATATATTATATATATATATATATATATATACTAGCTGGCCCAAAAAACGCCAAAAAATATTTTCAGAATTATTGGGGTATGTGGTATATAAGTGAAAGGGACAGCTAATACAAATTATTGCGATGGTTTACCCACTGCAATGCATGCCACATATATATGCTCCGGGTAAATATTAGTCATTACAAGAGCCATGCACATATTATTCAAAAATTGATCGATAATTTGACGCATATAGTTTTACCATGGTTTTTAAATTTTGAGACTAATGACCCTTAGGGATCGTTTTTTGACACTTCTTTGAATAGTTATGACAACCTAGAGAGACTATTGCATTGCATTTGGCAATGAGTGGGGATCATAGTTAATCGATGTGTGGTATTCATAGATTATTCACAGTAGATTATTCAGTTGTGTTCATAGTATTATTACAAATACTGTGACTTTCATTTTTTTGCTATCTTGTTTGTTATATCTGAATCATAAATCAATTTATCTGCAGAACAATAACAATCGTCATTTCATTTCGAATTCAATTTCAAAAAAAATTGTTGCCTAATTTACACAAAATTCAAAAAAGTGCTCTTGTATAGTCACAGTCTAAACGCATTTGCAAATAATTCTGTGCGACATTTTCACTTATACTGTGCTTTTCTTGGCGGCATTTTCACATTTTTCAATAGTTTTAGTTAGTTCTTTTCACACAATTGGAAAATCGCTCCTTTACATGAACAGTCTAAACGCACTTGGGTAAACATTTGTACCAGAGTGGCGCTTAGACTGTGCTTAGCCTGGGTAATTTTTTGAACTTTCAATCCAAAATTACAAAAATATTTTATAGAAAATAAAAAAAAATGTAATAATTTTTTATCCTCAAAAGCAACGTGTCAATACAAGCAGAAAGTTTTTTAGGTCATTCAAATCGGACGCTTAGTTTACTCAAGCACAATTTTTTGCACATTTCGCTCTGTATCTTCGAAATGGCGGGACCTGCCTTTGCCAAAAGCTAATCACCTCTTCTCCCATTCATTACAAATTCAATGTTTTTTAAATCATTCAAATCGGATACTACGTTCTTTCAAAAACTCGAATTGTATTTTCTGCACTCTTTGCTCTTTATCTCCTTAACTGCTGGACCTGCCTTTGCCTAATCAGCACATCTACCTATCTGTAGGAATCGATATATATATATATATATATATATATATATAATATTTATTTATTCAATTTCGTTAATAATTAATTTAATGTTACCTGTTTATTACTTTTCAGGCAATTACTGGCGCCCAACATAATTCAGAAACATTTCTTGGCGACAGGGGCGGAGCAGGAGTCCAGACAGGTGATAAAATATTTAAATTTATTATAATAAAGGGTCCGCCATATAACTTTTTTTTATTGGTAGCAATTTAGAATTTTTGACATCCATTAAAAAGTTAGACAGCCATTTCAATTAAATTATTTTCGATTATTAACCAGAAGGATTGCACTTTCAAATAGAAAAGATTTAAATTGAGAAAATATTCAATAGTTTATATATAGCATTTTCAAAAAAAAAAAGTTATATGACGGACCCTATACATATATAATTGGTAAACCCGACATTCTTTAAATGTTTGTTTTTAAACATAACAAATTACTAATTGACAGATTGCATTTTGAATTATTTGTATTTAGTATAAATATAAGGTTGTCAAATATCTCCCTTCCGCCTTTTTGTATTATAAACTAAGAGCAAAAAAGCGGAAGGAAGATATTTGACAACCTAATATGTGTGTATGTAGAACGCGCTCTAAAATTATATAACAGATATAAATAATTCCATAATATCCTTTTGATTTGTTGAATTGCAAAAGTACTACGGGGTCACCATTTAGAGACTTCGCGTTTATCCCACATTAATTATTAATATCTACAAAATTTATCACTCTCATTTGTTTCCCTATTCCGGACCTGCCTTAATCTTATATCGTGTCCAATCATCATTTAGGTTGACCCTGCCATTCCCCGGAGCGACGTCACCGGAGTAATAACTCCCCGGAGTCGAATTCGCCTTTTGGATACAATTTTCTTGGGCGGAAACTTTTTTTTAACGCAAATACGAGAATACTCATGTGAAATAATTTAAAACGGGAATATTTACGAGTTTGTAGAAATTTTTTTGTGTAAATTTTGGTTATTGGCCCTTTGAGAATTTTGAGAAAAAATAAGAAAAAGGAAAACATCTAGTTATTAAAAAAAATAAAACTTGAACAAATTAAGGGGATTTAATTTAAAAAAATGAGGGAAAGTGAAATTGAAATTTTTGGTAACGGTGTAGAGATTTATAGGGTAGAAGTTTTTTTCTATATATTTCTTTTCATTTTTTATTTATATTTCTTTTTATAGTCTTTTTATATTTTCTATTATTATTATTTATATTCTTTTTATATTTTGTATTTATATTTCTTTTAATTTTTTATTTATATTTCTTTGACATTTTTAAACAAAACATTAATTCTAATAAGAACAAACCCTGCAAAGAGTAGTACTATGTACCTAAAAAATTAGAGTAAACACTTTAACCGGAATGACGACTCCGGGATAATTATGAAAAAGCATTCCGGCGGTGTATTTGTATATATATATATATATATATATATATATATATATACATTTTAAGATGGAAATTCTGTTTTATTATAATTACGAAAAAGTGCCGACAAAGATGTTAACAGGATAAAAGGGAGTGCAGTCTTCGAGGATAATTACAGGAGCTCCTGCAGGACGACAAAATCCTTGTATAAAATAGAAATATATACACACACATGTATATATATATATATATATATATATATAAATATATATATATATATATATATAGACTAGCTGACCCGGCAAACATTGTTTCGCTAAGTAAGGTATATACTAAACAATTTCTAGAGAATCAAAAATATTGATACTCCAAATGTATAAGGATGTGTCGTTTGAATGCCATATACAATGGGGAATTATAAAAATAATAAACCCTATTAGTTTGTCTATAATTGAGAAATAGAAAATTTATATATTACTATCTATTCTTGGATAAATTCTGGGAAATTATAACTGGGAAAATGTTATTCGACAAAATGTCCCTTCGATCGATACCAAATTTAAGTTCTGAATTTACATAACATGTATAAAAAATAATATAACCTAGAAAATGTTTTGTAAATACCAATGAGTATATAATTATACAAATGAGATCTTTCAGAGAAAAATTGATTTGCAAAAAAAGAGTGCTACAACGCCAAAAATTGCATTTTCATATTAACATTTCAAAAAAGTTGATATTCTTCAGTTTGTAGTAACACTAGCAGCCCTATTACATGATTTTACTGAATTGCAAATTTATAGTTGTTTTTCTAAGAAACATATGTGATTTTATATTTTTATAATTGAGTACATATATTAGGTAATAAGATACTAAATTATATAGCTCTAGTATAATATTGTATATTTTTAAAACATTTTTCAAAAGTACTTCTCATATCATATTCAACCGTCCATTCGCAACTAATATAATAAAAATAGAGTATACACGTGTGCATTGCAATTTTTTAGTTTCTTCTGTTAAAACATTTTTTTTTTATATTTTTATAATTCAGTACACATATTAAGAAATAACATACTCTAATTTCATACCTGTATTACAACGCTTTATATTTTTAAAATATATTTTAAGCCGTTAATTTGTTTACGTCAAAGAGTTTACTAACGTTTTTGTATATAAATAAAACTACGAATAAAACTGCTTACTACAATTTAATCGTAATTAAATAATATTCACGTAAAACATCTTATTAAACTTAATTGAACATCATCTGTCAAAAGCGTTTGACATTTGACGTATTAGCCACCGTCCATTGTTTTATTCAAATTACGCTTCTACAAAAATTTTCAAATTAAAAATGTAAAGTTTTTACGCAATTTTGAAATAATATCTCGCCTTTCCGATAACCTACTGATTAGCACGAATTTTTCAAGATTAAGACTGGCCAAATCGGTTCAGCCGTTTTTGAATTTTAGCGGATCATTTGATCGAGAGCTCCATTTTTATATGTAAGATACGATTTTTTGTGATATAAAACTATCAAGTATTTTACCTGATTAAATGAACAAACTTTTGATAAAACTTACCTACACACTTTAGTACATTTTTTTTTACAAAAGGGCTTCTCAAAATTTACCACTTTGGGCAATCGTGTTGTTATTTCTGACTGCCCTAGAAATATTATTCACGGTTATGGTTATGTACGTTTCGACACGGTATGTGTGTCACCATTGTAATTTTATTTATATACAAAAACATTAGTAAACGTTTTGACGTAAACAAATTGACGGCCTAAAATATATTTTAAAAATATAAAGCGTTGTAATACAGTTATGAAATTAAAGTATGTTATTTCTTAATATGTGTACTGAGTTATGAAAATATAAAATCAAATATGTTTCTATCAAAAAAAGCTATAAATGTGCAATTTTGCAAACAAATGCACTCTTGCATATCTGGTTTCCAATAATTGCAAGTCCACGGTTTGATGATTATTTTGAAAAATATTTAAAAATATAAAACGTTATACTGGAGTTACAAAATTTTAGTATGTCATTTCTTAATATGTGTACTAAATTATAAAAATATAGAATCACATATGTTTCTTACAAAAACAGCAATAAATTTGCAATTAAGTAAAATCGTGTAATAGAGCCGCAAGTGTTACTACAAACTCAACAATATCAACTTTTTTGAAACGTTAATATGAAAATGCACTTTTTGGCGTTGTAGCACTCTTTTTTGCATATCATATTTTTTTCAATTATGGTGTTGTATAAATTATTATTTTTTGCGTCGATTAAAGCTAAAAATATCGTCGTAATCGTCGTAATCGTCGTAATTGTCGTATCGTCGTGCAACTTAACATGTATTTTAAATAAATCATACGGTGGAAACATAATTTAATGTAAGCAGCATGGTGGAGATTGCTCCACCATGCATATTCATAAACAAGACGACGAGGACGAAGACTATGTAGACCATTCTCTAGCAACAGCAGACATGGACATACATTCATCTGAACTATATACAACACGACAGGACAACAGACACAATATATACACATATATGTATATATGTATATACATAAATGTGTGTGTGTTTGAGATGTTTTTCGCATAAGATATTCACCGCAGAAATGTTCGCAGCATGGTTCCAACTCATTTACATAATGTACATTATGTGTATATACGACTTGATATAATATTATATAGTGTGAACGTGCACTTATAATGATATACAAGTCATATATAAATGTATATGTATATCTTAAATATAAAAATGGAGCTCTCGATCAAATGATTCGGTAAAACTCGAAAACGGCTAAACCATTTGGCCAGTCTTAGTTTTGAAAAATTCGTGCTAAAATGTAGGTTGTTGGAAAGGTGAGATATTATTTCAAAATCGCATAGAAAATTTACATTTTTAATTTGAAAATTTTTACATACTCTATTTTTATTAGTTGCGAATCGACGGTTGGATATGATATAAGAAGTACTTTTGAAAAATGTTTTAAAAATATACAATATCATACTAGAGCTATAAAATTTTGATATGTTATCATCTAATATATGTACTCAATTATAAAAATATAAAATCACAAATATTTCTACCAAAAAAAGCTATAAATGTGCAATTTTGTAAACAATGCACTCTTGCATATCTAGTTTCTAATAGTTGCAAGTCCACGGTTTGATGAGTATTTTGAAAAATATTTAAAAATATAAAACGTTATACTAGAGTTACAAAATTTTAGTATGTTATTTCTTAATATGTGTACTAAATTATAAAAATATAAAATCACATATGTTTCTGACAAAAACAGCTATAAATTAGAAATTCAGTAAAATCATGTAATAGGGCTGCAAGTGTTACTTGAGACTCAAAATATCAACTTTTTTGAAATGTTAATATGAAAATGCATTTTTTGGCGTTGCAGTAATACAATTATACAAAGATCTCATTTGTATAATTGTATACTCATTGGCAATTATAAAACATTTTCTAGGTTATATTAATTTTTATTCATGTTATTTAAATTCAGAACCTAAATTTGGTATCGATCAAAGGGACATTTTGTCAAATAACATTTTCGCAGTTTTAATTTTCTAAAATTTATCGAAAAATAGATAGTAATAATAAATTTTGTAACACTCCTCGCAGAAATTTGAATTTTTTTTATAAGCTCAGTAGTATTATTTACAATTATACACAAAATCCAGAATCCAAAAAGAATCTTGAAAACTTGAAACGTAATCAATAATTCGTAAGACCAAAAATGACGGATTGGATTATACTATGTTTTCTGTAGAAAGTGTATAAAACTTCCAATTTGATTGTATTGACAAAATATATAGACAAATTAATGGGGTTTATTGTTTTTATAATACCTCATTGTATATTGCATTCAAACAACGCATCCTTATACACTTAAAGTATTAATTTTTTTTGATTCTCTAGAAATTGTTTAGAATATACCTTACTTAGCAAAACAACGTTTGCCGGGTCAGCTAGTATATATATATATATATATATATATACGACAAAAGATATTCTTTCAAATATTTGTGTAAGAAGCTTTAGAATGACTCGAAACGTCGAGAAAACATAAAATGTTAAAGAGGCGACTTCTCCTTCAGCATCTAAAAAATTTTACTTATTAAAAATTTCAGATTAGTTTGCTCGTCAGTAGAGTCCCTTTTATTAATTCTAGATTAGTTTGCTCGTCAGTAGAGTCCTTTTTATTCATTCTAGATTAGTTTGCTCGTCAGTAGAGTCTATTTTATTAATTCTAGATTAGTTCGCTCTTCAGTAGAGTCCCTTTATTTATTTATAGATTCGTTTGCTCGTCAGTAGAGTCCCTTTGTTTAATACTAGATTAGTTTACTCGTCAGTAGAGTCCCTTTGTTTAATTCTAGATTAGTTTCCTCGTCATTTATTATCGTTAGTTGTCATTTATTATCATCTGACTTTTATCCCTTATCCCTATCTACTTTCTCCGCCCCTGCGTTTTTCCGCTCAGTTCCGGGTAATAATGAAAATCCTGCCCCCGGAGTCGTCATTACTGTCATAAGGATAATAACAGTAAAAAGGACCTCCTCCTCCTACTCTATATAAATATAATATTATACAATAAGGGTTGAAAAATCTTTGCGGCACGAGGCGAATAAAATAAAGAAAGGGGTTGTTGCAGGCGTCAAGGTAATGCCCTTAACTCGAATTATCTACGGGATATAAGTATAATTATATTCATAACGCCCTTTGAGGGAAAATTGTATGTCTTGATTTTGAAAAGGAGATAGAAAGACATTGTATTATATGTGTTTTCTGTACAGCTAGTTCATTATTGAAGTAAAACTTCTTTAGGCGCGACATGGGTGTAAATCCGTACAAATGCAACGGAAATTGTTACGCCAAGCTGAAGTGAGAGTCATTCGCTCTCGATGATATGATTTCTATACGGGACTTTATACGTGCGTACGTCACCGTGTTATTTCAAAACATTTTAAGGTTAAATAGTGGTATAAGTCGCGAGTTATTAAAAATGTCAGGATCGGAAGAATATTTTATCCTGTCCCCCATAAATTATTATAGTGCAAATAATCGCAAATAATGAAACAAAGGAAAAATCTGTGCTGCGTAAAAAATATAAGTTTATTGAAGTAATTTGTATTATTCGAGTTTTTCGAGGTTACTGTATACCTTTGAGGTTATTACTAAAATGGAAAATACTTTTACAAAAGACAGACACTACAGTTGCTCAAAGAATGAAATTGTATCGCCAGCGAAATAGTCAAATCAAACAAGCAGTCAATAATGAAGTTCTACAAACACAATTACATGATAAGTGAAATTGTGAAAACAATATTTTTTTATTGAAAATTTAGAGAAAGTTTACATGTTTTTTTATGATGGCTATGAAGACTAATTTTAATTTATTACAATAGTAATTATAAATATTGATGCAGGTTCAAAGCCTCTTACAAACTCTGAAAGATCAAGATTACATCGTCAAACCAAACAACTGCAGGAAAATAATCGGTTACTGTCAATTTATTAGAAAATTTTGAGCTAGGTATCAATTTAGATGTTAATGTCAACACCATTGACATAAGTAAGAATCTTTTCAAGCTATTTGACTCCTAAGAAACGCTTCAACTATTCACATTTAAACATATTATTCTGTTATCTTTTTAGATAAAAGTACTGCTATAACATTTTCTGATACAGCAACTACATCACGTCAATTGCAAATTAATGATTCTGCATATAATGTATCAAATGAAGTATTTGAACTGCCATATGAAGACTTCAATTTGCTTAAGAATGCACGAAAATTGTTTGAAAAACAATTTATAAGTGATAGCTTTGGCTATGTATGTTTTGTGTGTGATCGACTTTGGTTTCAAAGTGAGTTAAAAATATCAAATGATGCTCAAAAACAAATTCTTAATAATGCCTTTCTAAATATTGATTCAAATAATCAGGTTGGATGTCAAACTTGTCGAAAGGCATTGAATTCGGGTAAAATTCGCACTTTGTGTAAATTTAACGGGTTTGTATTTCCACCTATACCAAATTATCTATTTAAACTAGATACTGCATCTGAAAGATTAATTTCACCAATGTTGTGTTCCATGCAAATGGACAATTTGGAATATTTAGCCAAATTATAAATGTGCCTGTTGACGTTAATAATATGGTTAATTGATTACCTCGTAATATTGATGATGATCATTGCATTAACGTTCACATAAAAAAGAAAATGATTCATAGATCAAGCTATGTGCAAGGCTTGATAAATAAAACAAATATAAAAGTATGGCTTCAATTTTTTAGGCAAGACAGATATTACAGCTGTACAAAGAATGAGATTATATCGCCAGCAAAAAAGTAAAAAAATACGAACAGTAAATGAATGTAAAGTAAAGTTCTTCAAATACAATTATTACATGATGACTGAAGTTACGAAAACAATATTTGTTTAGGCGTTGTTCAACATAACATAATACACTGTGTGAACGAATATTATAGAATTAATCAGCAATTACTTTAAACCGATCATGTCATATTTCAAGTATGACCTTGATTACATTATTGTTTGTGAATATTATACATATTTTTAATGCAATCATAAATATATAATTTATAATTTATCATTATATAAATGTGTATAATGATTGATAACACTAATAAATGTGTGCATCACGAGTGTTACTATATTACCAATAAACATTATTCAAAATAGTTACATGATGTATTTATTTTTAACTTGAATGCCATATTGTACAGTAGCAAATAAGTTTTACTTCAATCGCGTGTGATCCTTACGCGCACTCTTTTTTACCTTGTTGGGGTATATATTTTTTTTTTTTATTTTTTTTTTAGGAAATCGAGCATTGTTACTATCACGGAACTGTCAAAGATTACCCCGGAGCCTCCGCCGCTTTTCACACCTGCAACGGAGTCTCCGGAGTCATTCATGTCGGAAACGAAACTTTTGTCATACATCCATTTTACGGCGGAGACTTATCGGTAAGTTCATAAACAATAGAAAATTAGATATTACATTACTTCGTGGGGGGAGGATCTAGAATGCTACGTTCATATTAGCGTCATTCGCATTTCTAGTACCGAAGATTGCAAGTTTATTGAAACTTCGGTACCGAATGTGTATATATATGTATGTAATAATAAATTCTATAATTCACAATTAAAGTATATATTTTTATGAAAATTTTGCAAGAATTACAGCCCTTAACTATATATAGTACAGCCGGTATAGATTTTTAAAAACTGATAAATAAACTAACTAAATTAATAAAAACTCTGCGAGTAAAAACATCAAAAACTTTAATAATTTACAAAATTACTGTCAAATTTTATGATGAAATATTAAAGTACATACTTCATACTAAAATACATTAAAAATATAACTCTTAACTATGCATATATTATTTAGCATAAAATTTTGAAAATAAGAATATTTTAACCAATAATAATTTGCAAGTGATTTCTCAGACAGACAACATGTTATCAAGTTGTAAAAAACTTTGATAATTTGTTCTAAAACATTAAATTTTCTAAATGTACAATTAGAGGATATACTTTTAGGAATAATATACTAAAATTAAACCCTTTTACTATATATAGTACGCCCGGTATAAATTCTTAAAAACGAGAATATTTTATTTGCAAGTGATTCCACAGCCGGACAATATTTTATAAAGTTGTCAAAAACTTTAATAATTTGTTCTAAAACATAAACTTTTATAAATGCACCCTTATAGTATATAGTATATACTTTTAGGAATATTATACTTAATAATTACAAATACTGTAACTTTCATTATTTTCGCTATCTTGTTACGATCTGACCAAATCAAATGTAAATCATAAATCTCCAGAATTTATCTCCAGAACATTAACAATCGTCATTTCATTTCGAATTCAATTTAAAAAAAAAATAGTTGCCTAATAATGTACACAAAATTGCAAATGTGCTCTCGTACAGTCACAGTCTAAACGCATTTGCAAATAATTCTGTGCGACATTTTCACTTATACTGTGCTTAGCTCGGCGGCATTTTCATATTTTTCAATAGATTTCGGGAACACAGATCAACCAATTTGAACGATTCAAAAAAACATTCAATTCATACTGACAAGAAGATGTTCTAATTAGTTTTTGGCAAAAGCAGGTCCAGCCGTTGTGAAAATATAGTGCAAAAAATCGCAATTAAGGGGCACAACTAGTGTAACCGTCTAAAAAAAGGTGATTTTTGGGAATTTATATTAAAAAAACTACTTTATTAATCATTTCAAAATCTTAGGAATATATTTATACATGTTTTAAGAATACATTGTAAAATTTTTGAAGAAACAAATTAAATATTTTTTATGTTACCGTCGATATCCAACGGCGCGACAAAAAAATGCCCTTCACTGCTGCAGTGATTCCGGCCTTCTACATGGATGAAATTAAAAAAAAAATCTCGTTAAACTAGATAATATTGACTGTAAAATGAACTACGATAGAAAAAAAATCAAAAATCGACAAAATGACGGCGTTTTTTTAAAAAAAAGTCGAATTTTACCCAAAATTTTGGTCGTTTTTGGGCTGCCAAAATTCGATTTTTGATCCGATCAAAAAATCGATAGTTTATTTTATGGAGAACTATTTATATATAGAACATGCAAAAAAAATTGATAGTGATCGGATCATTTGTTTTTGAGTAATCGCTGCAGCAAATTCGGAAAATGCTGTTTCGAGAAAAACGCGTTTAAAGATAAAACGATCGTTACACTATATACTTCATATATACTCTTTAAATGGCTATGACTCAAAAACAACTATTTAAGATATCGATTTAAAGTTTTGGTATGTTTTTTTCAAAGGTATAACCTATCGAGAAATGGAAAAATTGAAAATTCGATTTTTTGAAAATTTCACACTAGTTTTTGAATGAACGGAGCACACATATTATAATTCCCTCTTCTTTGAGCAGATTGCAACATAAGTTTTCTTTTATAATAAATCATCGCATTGCGGCAACAAATACAATTTTAAAAAAAATTAAACACATTTAGTTAGTTTAGTTTTACGATGTCAATCAATCGATTTTCGCATTTGGCGACGATCCAAATCATCACAAAACACAACACAACACAAATAATAAATGCTAATTTTCTTTTTTTTCGGCTTGTTGGCAAATGATGCATTGCGAATAGAATGTGATCTGCGAGGACGCAAATTATATTTCTATGCAAATTTTAGTTCATTACGCGAATTATTTACATATTATTATTTCGTGTTCTACATTTTACATTCTGCACTCGTAATAATGGATTATCGAAAAAATATTTATTTATACACAAATATATATAAATATATATAAATATATATTATATGTATATTATATATGTATATACTAGCTGACCCGGAAAACGTTGTTTTGCTAAGTAAGGTATATTCTAAACAATTTCTAGAGAATCAAAAATATTGATGCTTTTAGTGTATAAGGATGTGTTGTTTGAATGCTATATACAATAAGGTATTATAAAAACAATAAACCCCATTAGTTTGTCTATATTTTGTCAATACAATTAAAACTGGAAGTTTTATACACTTTTTTTAGAAAACATGGTATAACCTAATCCAAGTCTTTTTTAATCTTTCAACTTATTGATTACGTTTCAAGTCTTTCAGATTATTTTTGGATTCGGGATTTTGTGTATAATTGCAAATAATATTATTGAGCTAATAAAAAAATTTCAAATTTCAAATTTCTGCGAGGAGAGATAAAAAATTTATATATTACTATCTATTCTTCAATAAATTTTAAGAAATTATTAAATTAAAAAATTTAGGTTCTGAATTAAAATAACATAAATAAAAAGTAGTATAGCCTAGAAAATGTTTTATAAATACAAATGAGTGTATAATTATACAAATGAGATCTTTCAGAGCACCGTGTTTGAGAAAAATATAATTTGCAAAAAAGAGTGCTACAACGACAAAAAATGCAGTTTTATATTAACATTTCAACAAAGTTGATATTATTGAGTTTGTAGTAACACTTGCGGCTCTATTACATGATTTTACTGAATTGCAAATTTATAGCTGTTTTTGTGAGAAACATATGTGATGTTATATTTTTATAATTCAGTACACATATTAAGAAATAACATACTAAAATTTTGTAACTTCAGTATAACGTTTTATATTTTTAAATATTTTTCGAAATACTCGTCAAACCGTGGACTTGCAACTATTAGAAACTAGATATGCAATAGTGCATTTGTTTACAAAATTGCACATTTATAGCTTTTTTGTTAGAAACATATGTGATTTTATATTTTTATAACTGAGTACATATATTAGGTAATAACATACTAAAATTTTATAGCTCTAGTATAATATTGCATATTTTTAAAACATTTTTCAAAAGTACTTCTCATATCATATCCAACCGTCGATTCGCAACTAATAAAAATAGAGTATGCACGTGTGCATTGCAATTTTTTAGTTTCTTTTGTTAGAAACATATTTGATTTTATATTTTTTTAATTCAATACACATATTAAGAAATAACATACTATAATTTCAAAACTGTATTACAACGCTTTATATTTTTAAAATATATTTTAAGCCGTCAATTTGTTTACGTCAAAACGTTTACTAACGTTTTTGTATATAGATATAACTACAAACAAAACTACTTACTACAATTCAATCATAATAAAATAATATTCACGTAAAACATCCTATTAAACGTAATTGAACATCATCTGAACATGCCAAAAACGTTTGACATTTGACGTATTAGCCACCGTCCATGGTTTTATTCAAATTACGCTTCTACAAAAAATTTCAAATTAAAAATGTAAAGTTTCTAAACGATTTTGAAATAAAATCTCACCTTTCCGACAACCTACTGATTAGCACAAATTTTTCAAGACTAAGTCTGGCCAAATCGGTTCAGCCGTTTTCGAGTTTCACCGGATCATTTGATCGAGAGCTCCATTTTTATATATAAGATATATATATATATATATATATATATATATATATATATATATGCTACAGTGGAGCATTCTCCTCCGCCACGACTACTTTTGGGGATTAGTCAACATCAAATAGCGGACTTAGCAGATATTGAAAGGGACCCCCTTTCGGACTAACCATACTAGCTCCGAGGTATGATTTACGATATATATATATATATATATATATATATATATATATATATATATATATCATTTACCATCGGGCTTTGTATAAACTGCGGTCTGCGATCTAAACTTCTCAAAGTTTCTATTTACCGAGCGCTCGGTTCCTCCACCGATGTTTGTCTAATCTAATTTCGAGATAATGGACAATGAAGATGTAGAGATCAATATCATAGAGATGAGACAGGAGAAGATTTATCCAAAGATATATGAATATTTTCTACAAGAAAAGGGAATTTTAAAGAAGGATTCAAAAAAATAAATATAAATTTATCTATGTATCTCATTCAAATGCTCCTATATAATCTTCTTATATATAAAAATGGATCGCAAAATGTGTTGGTAAGCGCATAACTCAACAACGCCTGGACCAATTTGGCCAATTATTTTTTCAAAATGTTCGTTGAAGTCTAAGGATGGCTCTTACGGCGAGAAAAAATCGAATAATTGCCGAGAAAATCCTAAAAACAGCCCTTTTCTTTTTCTCATACAAACGTTTTCTAACTAAAACGTAGAATCAATTTGAGCTTTATTGCTATTATATTAGGTTGTCAAATATCTCCCTTCCGCTTTTTTGCTCTTGGTTTATAATACAAAAAGGCGGAAGGGAGATATTTGACAGCCTTATATAAAGTTCATATTAAATTACAAGCACTCACTGTATACTCTTTCTAAACAATTATTCGGATTTTGATAAATCTTTCTGAAGCCTGTTAAGGAAATTTGTTAGGATGTATGTGATTATAAAGTACTGGGATGTATGTGGAATATTGTAAAAATAAATGGGAAAAACGACATGTTATTGTTTGCATTAAAAACAAATGAAAACTATCATCTGCCAAAAATTTCAATTTACTTATGAACCTAGACAATGTTAGAAAATGTATAATAAATTTGATTATGAATAAAAAAAAATGAAATATCTACGTTATTATTGCCAAAAAGCAGCTGAGATGTGCCAGAAATTTAAAAAATATGAATTACAGTATATGTATGACAAATTGAATGATACACATATGAAAAGGATACGACAAATTAACTCACTTAAAATATGAAATTAAGTATTAATCAAGACCGGTCCTAACTTTAATGCGATGCATGCGAAAAATACGAGTGCACGCCTTAGGGGGCGCCAACAAAAGTTCGGATATGAAATTTTCAATATAGTTTTTTTTTAATATATAATTTTTTTGCATCTTTTACTAATCCTTTCACAATATTTTTAAAATTCGTAAAAATTTCACTATATAACAACAAATGGGAAAGTATAGATGAATACATACAATTCGGCCCTTATAAATGTATATGCATTTTGGCGTGAAGAGTAATTTGAAAAACAATAATTAATATTCTTAGGTAAACGGTAAATAATAGTATATTATATTAAAAAATTGTAGAGATGGGTACAGGACAACGTCTGTCGGGTCATCTAGTTTCTTTATGTGATACATGTTAAATTCCACGTAAAAATAATGTAACTTCGTTCTAAATTAAAAAATATCGAGTTTGTCTCCTGAACATGAATTTGGTAAAAATATTTCATAACCAATATTATATAAATTTGTGTGTGTATGTTGGAGTGTGTACATTGATTAAATATTATCAAAGCTTTGAATTTTGGGATTTATGCGTTTAAGTCGCTAATTGATCGTGGAGCATGATTCTGAATACATTAAACGACATTTATACGACGACAAACATCGTTATATATACATATATAAATTTATATTATACATATATACATAAAATAATATTATTACATTACACATTTCAAAGCACTCCCCGATGTTTGATGTTTGTGATGTTGTCGAAACTTATATTATGTTATTATGTAACTCTTTATAAAACTTTTCCAGCCGCAGTTTTCAACTTTGTGTTCCCATTTCTAGTTTTGAATGAAATGAAATAAAAAACTATGAAGTATATCATATTATAGAAACTAGATTATTTTATGATTTACAGAGACAAACTTGAATTTTTGAAGTAAAACTTCAAAGTGTAAATCGGTACAAATGCAACGGAAGTGCGTTACGGCAGATAAGATAAGAATCGAATGCCAATGATTCGTCATTCGCTCTCGATGATATCATTTCTATACGGGTCGATTGTGATTAGTCGTGTATGTGAATAGAATTCTGATGTTGTATGCTTACCCATATCAACAAGAAAATCGACATAGATATATAAATAAACATTTTAAAGTCACATCGTAATACAAATCTTGATTTAATGAAAAATGCCCGAATCAGAAGAATATTTTGCCCTGTTCCTTCAAAATAATAAAACAAATTAAACATTTGTGCCGTGTACTAAACGTAAGTTTATTGATTAGAAATTATTTCTATATTATTCGTAAATAAAAAGGGACTCTACTGACGACCTAACTAAGAATGAAAAAAGGAGGGGGACTCTACTGACGAGTAAAATAAAAATAAAATTCAAAGAGACTCTACTGACGAACAAAACTAAAAATGAAAGAAAAATAAACTCTACTGATAATTAAAAAAAAAATGTAAGAAAATGGGACCCTACTGACGAGCAAACTAAAAATTAAATAAAAAGGGACTCTACTGACGATCAAACTAAAAATTAAAAAGGGAGGGGGACTCTACTAACGTGCAAAATAAAAATAAAATTCAAACTCTACTGATGATTAAATTAAAAATTAAAGAAAAAAGGACTCTACTGACGAGCAATCTAAAAATAACATTAAAAAAGAACTCTACTGATGAGCAAAACTAAAAATAAAATAAAAAATGGACTTGTAGTTTCTATAAATCTTTGAAGTTATAAAAATGGAAAATATTTTTTAGGCAAGACAGATATTACAGCTGTTCAAAGAATGAGATTATATCGCCAGCGAAAAAGTAAAAAAAAACAAGCAGTCAATGAATGTTTGTTCATTTTAATTACATGAAGTTCTTCAAATACAATTACATGATGAGTGAAGTTGCGAAAACAATATTTGTTTAGGAAATATTATAGAAGTTATTAATCAGCAATTATTCCACTTCTCTAATGAAGGTTTATTTCTGAATGCTAATTACAATGACAAACCGATCATGTCATATTTAGAAGCATGACTTTAATTACATCATCGTTTTTTAAATATTATACATATTTTTAATGCTATTATAAATATATCATTATATGAATGTGTATAATTGTCGACACTAATAAATGTGTGCATTACGAGTTTTACCATATTACAAATAAACATTATTCAAAATTCTTATATGATGTATTTATTTTTACTTAACTTAAATTTGCTATTTTGTACAGTAGCAAATAAGTATTACTTCAATCGCGTGTTAACCTTACGCGCACTCCTTTTTTATTTTTTTCCTTATTTTTACGTCGAATTTAACATATATCAGCATTTATACACAAATGTGTATCTAAGAAATTCATGTATTTTTAAAGACGAATGATGATAAAGTATTTTTCTACGAATTTCATTCTTTTTGGTTTAAAACCATCCCTCTAAATCCATTTGGACAGATACGGGAACTTTTACCTAAATTGGACTGGCAAAAATTATATATAGAAAAAAAAAACACGAAAAAAGCATCAAGTAGCTGTGAGTTTTTCAAGCTGGACGTAAAATATGTAAATTTTAATTATTTAGGTAATAAAATTATAAATTACACTAAATAGTTATCCCAACAATTTGAAATATCTATAATATTTTTATAGTCCAATTAATTTAAGATAACGTATAAAAATTTATTATCATCTTTAAAACATTACTATTATTTTACAACTTAGTCGATCGTGTTGGGCGTAAATTTCCCACTGAAATCACATTAAAATTATATTCGTTTAAACATAATAAAACTGGGCGTAAGTGGCATTTTACTTAGCGGCAAGTTGCTTATACTTCCCAATATGTGTAAATAATAATAATAAGTAATCTACTTGTATACCTGTATATTTTTTGTCTCCCTATTTACTAAAAAATACTTTGTATGGGATTTAAAAATAATGTTTTGTAAAAATCATATTTGTCCAAAAAATGTCAATTTGATACATTTTTGCTGCGTATCCAAAGTCAATGGACCTGCCTTCGCAAAAATGTAATTAATGTCGAAACAAGTAAAATGTTTTTTGAATCATTTAATGGGCTCAACTAGTGTAACCGCCTAAAATAGATGATTTTTGGGAATTTATATTAAAAAAACTACTTTATCTATAATTTCAAAATTTTAGGAATATATTTATACATGTTTCAAGAATACATAGTAAAATTTTTAAAGAAAAAAATTGAATATTTTTTAAGTTATCGTCGATCTCCAACGGCGTGACAAAAATAATGCCCTGCACTGCTGCAGTGATTCCGATCTTCTACGTGGATGAAATTTAAAAAAAAATTCTCGTTAAACTAGATAATATTGTCTGTGAAATGAACTACGATAAAGAAAAAAATCAAAATTTGACAAAATGATGGCGTTTTTTTTTTTAAAAGTCGAATTTTACCCAAAATTTTGGACGTTTTTGAACTGCCGAAATTCGATTTTTGATCCGATCAAAAAATCGATAGGTTATTTTACGCAAAACTATATATAAAACACGTAAAAAAAATTGTTTTTGAGTAATCGCTGCAGCAAATTCGGAAAATGCTGTTTCGAGAAAAAAGCGTCCATCTATTTTGTTTTTAACTTTTAGAGTTTTTACACGTATATTTGCTCTAATAATTATATATTGTTGGATTTTCTTATTAGTTTACAAATTTGTTATATTATTTTTAGATAAATAGATATTATTAAAATTGAAAAGTTATTAAATCAAAATTTCGTATTATTTATCATATTATAACACAATAGTTTTTACATAGAGCATAAAAGTAGTCCAAAAACCGTTAAAACGGTCATCGGTTATATAATATTTATTGTTAATTTTAAAAAAAAATAAATTAAATAAAAAGAAAATGTTATCAGAAACACATATTACATCAATTAAACTTTTAAAATCTGCAATAAAAAAACCTGCTCTTTTAGATCACTTTTCACGAAAAAAAACCGACCGTTAAGTGTTTAAAAATAAAATTATCGTTATACTATATACTTTATATATACTCTTTAAATGGCTGTGACTCAAAAACTATTTAAGATATCGATTTAAAATTTTGGTATGTTATTTTTAAAGGTACAACCTGTCGAAATATGGAAAAATCGACAATTTGATTTTTTGAAATTTTCACACTAGGTGTGCCCCTTAAATAGAATGCTCCGTTCTTTCAGAAATTCTTAATTGCAATTTTTGCACTATATCTTCAAAACGGCTGGACCTGTTTTTGATAAAAACTAATTGGAACATCTACCTGTCAGTATGAATTGAATGTTTTTGAATCATTCAAATCGGTTGATCTGTGTTCCCGGAATCGTGCTCCACCTGTCTATATTTACCTTTCTGTTTCCCATCTGTTTTTCTATATGCTTACACGATCTATCTGTCTTTCTATCTGTACAGGTGATTCCATTTGTATTTGAATCAACAATAATGCTTTGTAATGATCATTTTCGATTATCATATATTTATAATTTTTTACATTTCTTTTCAGAAACATCCCCATGTCATCTTCGAGGCCAGGACGAAGGCGAACAAAGGCTGCGCAAATTCAGGAAGGATGGAACTGCGCGGGAGCAGGAGAGACGTTTCTTTTCATGGACCTGCCTTCCCCGGATTCGACAGTAAGTCACAATAATACAATAAAAAAACTAGTGGTGTATGGCATCGTGCCTTAAGGCAAATTGCTGGAAAATCCCGTACCGTAATGAAATATTCGAGAAATTTTAAACGTTTTCAAATATATTATTACAAATACTGTAATTGTTTCATTATTTTTGCTATCTTGTTATATCCGAGCAAATCAAATGTTAATCATAATTCATAAATCATAAATCAATTTATCTTCAGGACATTAACAATCGTCATTTCATTTCGAATTCAATTTCAAAAAAATATTATAGTTGCTTAATTTACACAAAATTGAAAAAATACTCCCGTATAGTCACAGTCTAAACGCATTTGCAAATAATTCTGTGGGACATTTTCACTTAAACTGTGCTTAGCTTGGCGGCATTTTCACATTTTTCAATAGTTTTCACAAAATTCGAATTGGAAAAGTGCTCCAGTGTACATAAACAGTCTAAAAGCACTTGGGTAAACATTTGTACCAGAGTGCCGCTTAGACTGTGCTTAGCCTGGGTAATTTTTTGAATTTTCAATACAAAATCACAAAAATATTTTATGGAAAATAAAAAGAGATGTAATAATTTTTTACCCTCAAAATCAATTGTTTTATCAATACAAGCAGAAAGTTTTTTATTTAGATCATTCAAATCGGACGCTTAGTTCACTCAAAAACTGTCATTTTTTGCACATTTAGCTCTGTATCTTCGAAATGGCAGGACCTGTCTTTGCCAAAAACTAATCACCTCTCCCAATCATTACAAATTGAATGTTTTTTAGATCATTCAAATCGGATACTCCGTTCTCTCAAAAACTCGTTTTGTATTTTTTGCACTCTTTGCTCCGCATCTCCGTAACGGATGGACCTGCCTTTGCCAAAAACTAATCAGCACATTTCCCTATCAATAGGAATCGAATGGGAAATAGATCATTCAAATCACTTGATCCGTGCGCTCGATATCGTCGACAGAAACATTTGTATCCGCACACACACACACACATCCATTTAGTTTCTGAGGTATGCCTCTTAAAAATGTTCAGAAACCATTGAAACGTGAACATATGCAAAAATTTTCATTTTCGATTTTTGGCCCATTACTATAACTGCCCTACGCGAAGTTAAAAAAATGTCTCCTGAAGTAAAACTTCTTAGGTAGATAAATAAAAAAAATATTTTTGATAAATTTTAGGTAAATAAATAAGTAAAATTATTTTGGAAGTGAAACTTTTTAGGTTAGCAAATGAACAAATTTTATTGCAAATAAATAATAGCGAAACAAAAATTTTTTTTTAAGTAACACTTCTTGAAATTTCATTTCTGAAATAAAGCTTCTTAGGTTGAAAATGTACGAATTTTATCGTAAATAAATAAGTAAAATAAAATTTAATTTAACTTCTTAGGTTGGCGATGTATAAATTAGTAAAATAGAATTTTATTTCTGAAGTAAAACTTCTTAAGTCGCGATGTGATATAGAGTCTGTTTTGTTGCGTAAAAGAGACAACAGTATATAGTAACAAAATGAGAGAGAGAGAGATAGCACATTAATGCGAAAAAGAGTGCGATATACCTGACAGTGTAGAGTGACAGAGTAAGATATATGTGTACTATGTTGTAACCTCCAAAATTTAGCAACTACCTTTTTAAATGTAATTTTTTGATAAAAGGATAAGAGATACCAATTTTTGTTATTAATGAAAGTTGTAGATAATTTAATTGGCTATAAATTTGCTGAATATTGCAAAATGGTGGTGCATTTCATTTTGAAGTTATAAATAAATAAATAAATCGAGCTGGTCCAAAAGTATGAAGCAAGATATACTGATGCAACCTTCAAAATTTAACAACAACCTGTTTCGTTGCAAATTTTGGGTAAAAGGATAAGAGATACAAAATTTTGTTGTTAATAAAAGTTGTAGATTATTTAATTGGCTATATATTTGCTGTATATTGCAAAACAATCGGACAATTAGTTTAGAAGTTATAAACAAATAAATAAAAATCGAACCGGTCCAAAAGTATAAAACAAGATATATTAAAATGTAGCCTCCTCAATTTAACAACAATCATTTTGGTTCTTATAAATGCCGCCAAGCTAGGCACAGTATAAGTGATGTATATCGCACAGAATCATTTGCAAATGCGTTTAGACTGTGACTATACGGGAGCACTTTTTCAATTTTGTGCAAATTAGGCAGCTATTTTTTTTTAGACTGAATTGGAAATGAAATGACGATTGTTAATGTTCTGGAGATAAATTGATTTATGATTTGCATTTGATTTGCTCAGATATAACAAGATAGCAAAAATAATTAACCTTACAGTATTTGTTATTAACGTTTAAAATTTCTCGAATATTTTATTACGGTACGGGAAGTTCCAGCAATTTGCCTTAAAGCACGATGCCATACACCTCACTAGTTTTACATTGGGGTTTTTAAAATAAATTTTTTTTTAGCTTCAAGATCCCGACGTGACGTGAGAGAAGCAACTAAATACATAGAAACTGCTCTGGTGATCGATAAAGCAATGTTCGACAAGAGAAATGGAAGCACCAGGGCCGAAGTGGTGCACGATGCCATACAAGTGGCCAACATTGCAGATCTGGTAAACTATAAACTATTACCTAAAAATATTTGTTTAGTAAATGTAATCATTGTTTAGTAAATGTAATCATTTGTTTGTTTTTTCTTTGTAGTATTTTCGAACTCTGAACACTCGAGTATCAGTCGTCTATGTGGAGACTTGGCAAGGATCAGACCAGGCTGTTTTAGATAGAAATCAGGATATTAGCAGGGCTTTGTATAATTTCAACGACTACACGTCCAGGAATCTCTATAAAGTCGAAAAAGACACTACACAACTACTAACGTAAGGAAATAGACTAAGACCCTTTAATCCGAGTTGATCATCTATTAGGGTTTGTCGGTTTTCAAAAACCGGTTTTTTGGCAAAATTATGAGATTCGAAAACCGGTTTTTTAGTGAAAAAGTCGGTTTTCGCTGTATAAATGGAAAATAACAAATATAGCCAAATATAAACGATAGATGAAAGCGTTTTGATTCTTGAAATCATATCGGTTCAATAGCATTTGATATCTTATCAGTTTGCAATGGTTCCCAGAAATGTTTTGTATATATTAATTTAGATTGCTATACCAGTATATATATTAATTTAAATCAGTGTGACTTCTTCTTGAAGAAGTAACTTTTTCTACTCAAACTTAAAAAAAGAGTTTTAAACGCTAGAAGCCACAAATTAAAGAACAAAAAACTTAGGATTATTATATCAGGCTTTAAAAACAACTCGGTATACTTTAAAATCACAATCAAAAAGCAACAAATAATCTGTACATAAGGTGTACTAGTTTCCAAACAAACTGAAGTTTTTCAAAGATCTTCTACATAATGTTTGTAATGAAATCTTGCTTTGGAATACAGTATACCTAGTGACATATTTTTACCTAATTGCTTGTAACTTCTAAATTATTCATTTAATATGAACAATGTATTCGGGAGATTTGTTTAAAATTTAATAATTAACAATGATGTCTTACATTATTACACTCTACAGCACATTGTAAAAACGGCGGAAGCAAAATTGTACGTTGCATTAATGTATATATATATATACCTATAATTCTAAAACCATTCGTTTAATATGAATGATGTATACGACAAATATGTACTAAATTAATCAATCTATAAATGTCTCTAATAGTGTAATATTCTAAACCAACTCGGTATACTCTAAAATCACCTTGAAATGCGACATATATATTACACTTTTTTGTGAATACACCTTTTGCCAAATAGGAACTTTATACACCTTTTTAGTACTAAAATTTTTCCACCTTCCGTGCACGAGTATTTGAAATGTTTAAAATTAATTAATTAAAATTTCTTGGAACAGACAATACCCGAGTTTAGCTTAATTGTTTTTAAAACAAAAATTGATATTAACAAGTATGTATCTAATATTTGTTTACTATTTAGAAATGCATTATTTTTATTTATTCGAAAACTTCCCTTCACTGTCATAAAAATATTTTCATTCTTATATGTGAAAATGATGCATGATTAACGAATAATTATTTTCAAAGTTATTTAATCAAGATAAACTATTATTTTTCAGTTCTACTAATTAAAATTAAAATAAATTTGTTTACTATCCATGAAATTGAACAATAAATAAATACAGTCAAATTCTGCTCTAAATTACATTAAATTTGCGGATAAATTGCAAAATATTCGAGCAAAAAATTTATTTTCTATATAAAATTCGAAAACCGGTTTTTTAGTGAAATTAAAATTCGAAAACCGGTTTTCTGAAATATCGGTTTTTGTATAAACCCCATCATCTACTACTTCTACTAGGACTATGTAGTCGTTTTTATATAGTTTCCTTATATCATTGAACCTATCTTGAAATTTTATCAAAAACTCATGAAAATTTCATTTGTAACAGAGAGAAAATTGATTGAACCACTAAAATGACTATTATTACAAAATAAGTTTGCTAAATTAGTTGAAAATTTAGGATTGTATGTATTTTTAAACGATTGATATGGAGACCATTGATAAGTCAAATTATCTTAGTTCTTGTTTTTATTTTAATTAATTTCAATTTATTTTAATTGGATACGGAATATTTACTCAAGCCAATGGAGCGTTTTGGGTCTGAATTTTTTTACTGTATGAAATTTTGGAATTAGGTTCATCTTTTTAGGTTTTTTTACGTTCTCTCAAGTTTAAAAGTGAAAATAATTTAGACTCCTAGTAGAAAGTTGAAAAATTATTTATTTTTCCCCCCAGTGGTGAGACTTTTCTCGGTGGTGAATCAGGAATGGCAGAACCCAGGACAGTCTGCACCCCAAAATCTGTTGGAATAAGTGTCGATATAAACACCTACGAACCACATCTTTTGGCTGGTACTGTCGCCCATATGATCGGACACAATATTGGAATGGGGCATGATGATGGACGTAAGTAGACAGATTAACTTTTTTTTCTGATTTATTATTCATAGCAAACTATACAAAGTACATTCAGCTACATTTGTTACAGTTATATATTATTTGTCTGTGTGAGAAGGATCGCTATCCTGCGATATCGCCTTCATAGATGTTCTGTTATATTTTGTAGTAAATCATTACAGATTTTTTTTTTTGAGACAGATCAACGACTAATGTTTCTGGACGTTGTTAAAGCCTCATATTTATATTTTACCAGGTGAGCAGTGTTTCTGCAGAGATTGGCACGGTTGTATAATGGCTCAGAGTATTGTTGGTCTCGAGAATGTTCAGCCTTACAAGTTCTCAGAGTGTTCTCGAAGCGATTACATCAAGGCTTTGAGACAAGGCGATGGGATGTGCCTGATGAACAAACCAAACGAGGTAATAAACGACTATCTAGTTCAAATGCGAGCAACCTTTTTAATCCACGGGCCAATTTAAATTTTAAAATTTTATGATGGGCCGCATGGAATTTATATATTTACTAGCTAAACCGGCGAACGTTTTGCCTCAGGAAATATTTTTAGAAAATCATTAGTATAAAAAATGACTAACTAATTCTGAATGTATAAATATGTAGTATATAAATGAGAGGGGCAGCCAACACAAAAATACATTGATAATTAATTTACCCAATGCAACGCTAAAATACTAACATCCATATTTGTATTATGTTATGCTATGCTTAGCGAAACGAGTCAGATTTCAATAACTCTAAAAAAAATCTAACTTTCTTTTCAAAACAGTTTTATCTTCAGATTTTAATATTAAATTTCTAAATATTTTTGCTAAAATTGCTTCTTCTGCAAAACTATGTACTTCTTATGCACATCGTGAAATATTTGTACAATAGGATAAGACTGCAAATGAGTTAATTTTATCGGTGATAATCATTTCGTCGCCAATATCTAAGAATTGTTTTTAAAATATTGCAACGAATATAGCTTATAAATTCAAGCTTTTCTATAAGCTCAGAAAAATTTTGATTGAATTTCAATTAAAAACGTTCACAAAAAGGACGATCATTGTTAATTGATCGATTGTCGAGCTAAAATGACTATTATGAAATAAGAGAATGAAATTGGGAGTTGTATATAGTTTTTCATTTTGCATTAAAAAAATTAAAATAAAGAATAAAATTTTAAAAAAATTGTTACGGTTGTACAATCTATAAACTAGTGGGGTGTGTGGCATCGTGCCTTAAGGCAAATTGCTGGAACTTCCCGTACCGTAACGAAATGTTCGAGGAATATCAAATGTTTTCAAATAGATTATTATAATTACTGTAACATTATCTAATATTTATAAGAATTATTTAATCTGAATTGCAAAGTTAAAATTATTTGTTTAAAGTATATTAGAACTATAGTCAGAATTAAAAATAAAATTTGAAATTCTGAATTATTTTCGATATACAAACAAATTTTTTTTTTAGAAAAAAAAGTTGAAACAATATTTTTTTCCAAAATCAATTATTTTGTTAAGACAAGCAGAAAGTTATTCGAATCATTTAAATCGGACGCTTAGTTCTCTCAAAAACTGCCATTTTTTACATATTTAGCTCCGTATCTTCAAAATGACTGGGCCTGCCTTTGCCAAAAACTAATAAACACTTCTCCCGATCATTACTAATTGAATGGTTTTTAGATTATTCAAATCCGATACTCCGTTCTCTCGTAAACTCGATTTGTATTTTCTGCACTCTTTGCTCCGTATCTCCGTAACGGCTGGACCTGTCTTTGCCAAAAACTAATCAGCACATCTCCCTATCAATAGGGATCTTTTGAATTTTATCGATTGAACCATTCAAATGGGTTGATCCGTGCGCCCGAAAGCGCAATTAGTTTTTGGCAAAAGTAGGCACAGCGGTTTCGGAGATACAGAGCTAAATGTGCAAAAAATGGCAGTTTTTGAGAGAACTAAGCGCCCGATTTAAATGATTCAAAGAACTTTCTGCTTGTTTCAACAAAATAATTGCTTTTGAAAAAAAATGTTTCTAATTTTTTTTTCAAAAAATATTTTTGTAATTTTGGATTAAAAATTCAAAAAATCACCCAGGCTAAGCACAGTCTAAGCGTCACTCTTGTACAAATGTTTACCCAAGTGCGTTTAGACTGTTTATATAATGGAGCACTGTTCCAATTTTGTGAAAAATCAAGTATTGAAAAATGTGAAAATGCCGCCAAGCTAAGCACAGTATAAGTGAAAATGTCGCACAAAATTGTTTGCAAATGCGTTTAGACTGTGACTATACTGGAGCAATTTTTCAATTTTATGTAAATATTTTTTTTTTTTTTGAAATTTAATTCGAAATGAAATGACGATTGTTAATGTTCTGGAGATAAATTCTGGAGATTTATGATTTACATTTGATTTGCTTAGATATAACAAACAAGATAGCAAAAATAATGAAAGTTACAGACAGTATTTGTAATAATATATTTGTAAACGTTTAAAATGTCTCGAATATTTTATTACGGTACGGGAAGTTGTAGCAATTTGCCTTAAGGCACGATGCCATATACCACTAGTTATTATTATTATCAGTATAGTTTTTTTATATCATTTATCTTTTATAGTTGGAAGTTCATCGAAACTGTGGTAACGGCGTTGTCGAAGATGGTGAAGAATGCGATTGTGGTCTGATATCGGAATGTGAAGCCACAGATCCTTGTTGTGATGCCATCACTTGCAAACTCAAAAAAGAAGCCGAATGTGCTGCCGGACCATGTTGTGATAACTGCAGGGTGAGTCGATGACTAGAGAAATTTCTTTTCTTCCTAGACTGGTCTTTTGTCTGGGTATGTCGGACTCAATACCGCTCTGGTATAATACCGACTGAAACCTCCGCTTTGCCCTTGCCTCTGGGCATTACTGCATGGGAGGAGGATCTAGAATGTTATAATTCTTAACTTGATGAACTGATTTATTTTTTGCAGTTGGTCGCTCCTGGAACAATATGCAGGCACCCAGTGGACGAGTGTGATCTTCCTGAACATTGCACTGGAGAATCTGGGGCTTGTCCCAAAGACGTCCACATGAGGGACGGAGTTCCTTGTGGTGGCAGTGGTGTCCAGGAAAACAATCCGGGGGGCCAAGGAGACGAAGGTAATAATAAATATCATTTGCCACATAGTAAGTATATCGATGGTTTTCTGACGCAACCTCGTATCTCAAAAACTACTGCTTTTCAGAGACTAAAAACGTTTTATAACGAACTTTTAAACGGATGTTAACAATTTTTTTTATAATTCTAAGAATAATCAATCTTGTGATAATTATTTGAGACAAGTATGATATTATAAACAATTTATCATTATTTTTTCTTCAATTCTTTGAGATACGTGTTTGTCGCAGAGAAAACATACATGGTTGCGTCATGTTGTTTTGAAATAAGAGTACATGAATAACTTTTTTCAATTGTTACATTTTGAGAACCGATTAACTTTTTAAATAATTCTTAATAATAAAACAAACATTTTCAAACTTGTAGTATATATTAGTTTATAATTACTATTATTAAATAGTATCTGGCCATGGCTGGGTATTACAATATCTAGGATCTTTAGTTCTTTCGTGGATTTTTATAATGTGTATTAAATTGTGATTATCATTTTTATTATTACTTTTACTCTTTTTCATTATTTCTTTATTCGATGATTTTTTATCTGCGGATGACACATTATCTAACTCTAAAAAATACAAAATTTAATTTCTTGTGAGAATTTATTATGTCAGTAAGAATTGATAATTGTTTAATTTTTGTTGCCTATTGTGATATTTGTTCTCAACTTAATAAAAATATAACTAGTGGTGCATGGCATCGTGCCTTAAAGCAATTTGGTGAAACTTCCAGTTCCGTAATTAAATAGAATCGAGAAATAATAAAGGATTTCAAATAGATCATTATAAATACTGCAACTTTTGTTATTTGTATTTGAATGAGAAAACTAGTGGTGTATGGCATCGTGCCTTAAGGCAAATTGCTGGAACTTCCCGTACGGTAATGAAATATTCGAGAAATTTTAAACGTTTCAAATATATTATTACAAATACTGTAACTTTCATAATTTTTGCTATCTTGTTATATCTGAGCAAATCAAATGTAAATCATAAATCAATTTCCGGATCTCTAGAACATTAACAATCGTCATTTCATTTCGAATTCAATTTAAAAAAAAAATCGTTGCTTATAGTCACAGTCTAAACGCATTTGCAAATAAATCTGTGCGACATTTTCACTTACACTGTGCTTATCTTGGCGGCATTTTCACTTATCTTTTTCCATTTTCATTGGAAAAGTGCTCCAGTACATAAACAGTCCAAACGCACTTGGGGAAACATTTGTACCAGAGTGGCGCTTAGACTGTGCTTAGCGTGGCTCATTTTTTGAATTTGTAATCCAAAATTACAAAATTTTTTTTTGAAAAAAAAAATTAGAAACAAAAATTTTTTACCGAAAGTAATTATTTTGTTGAAACAAGCAGAAAGTTCTTTGAATCATTCAAATCGGACGCTTAGTTCTCTCAAAAACTGCCATTTTTTTAACATTTAGCTCTGTATCTCCGAAACCGCTAGACCTACCTTTGCCAAAAACTAATTTTGGCCGTCCCCGTCATTACGAACTGAATTTTTTTTTGTATCATACAAATCGGATGATCCGTTCTCTCAAAAACTCGATTTCTATTTTCTGCACTTTTTGCTCCATATCTCCGTAACGGCTGGACCTGCCTTTGCCAAAAACGAATCAGCACATCTCCCTATCAATAGGGATCGAATGTTTTTTCTGCAGTTTGAAAACATGTTTTGAAGATGCTGAAAAACCCCAAAATTGAATACCGTAGACCAAATGCAAGTAGAAGTTGGAGTAATAGATAGAAAAAGACAATTTAAACTAATTTTTTATTTAAGGGGTGCAACTAGTGTGAAAATTTCAAATTTCAAAAAATCGAATTTTTAATTTTTCCATATTTCGAAAATTTCAAATTTTAAATCGATATCTTAAATAGTTTTTAAGTCACAGCCATTTAAAGAGTGTACGTGTATATATAGTATATAGTATAACGATTATTTTATATTTAAACGCGTTTTTCTCGAAACAGCATTTTCCGAATTTGCTGCAGCAATTACTCCAAAACAAATGATCAGATCAGTATCAAATTTTTTTTACATGTTTTATGTACAGTTCTCCGTAAAATGACCTATCGATTTTTTGATCGGATCAAAAATCGAATTTTGGCAGGTCAAAAACGACCAAGATTTTGGGTAAAATTCGACTTTTTTGTAAAACGCCGCCATTTTGCCAATTTTTGTTTTTTTATCGTAGGTCATTTTACAGACAATATTATCTAGTTTAACGACAATTTCTTTTTTTTTAATTTCATCCACGTAGAAGGCCGGAATCACTGCAGCAGTGAAGGGTCTTTTTTGTCGCGCCGTTGGAGATCGACGATAACTTAAAAAATATTTAATTTTTTTCTTCAAAAGTTTTACTATGTATTCTTAAGACATGTATAAATATATTCCTAAAATTTTGAAATGATTGATAAAGTAGTTTTTTTAATATAAATTTTCAAAAATCACCTTTTTTTAGGCGGTTACACTAGTTGTGTCCCTTAAGTACTCTTAACGTAAAACAAGTTTTGGAAAGCTTAGACATAAATGACGAATAAATATAATTATCCCAATATTATTGTTTTTCCTTAGAAGATCAAGCACCAACAGCCTTTTGTTTTGCTGGTGTCTGTCCCACCTTGGCAGCCCAATGTAGTGCCGTTTGGGGCTACGGAGCAACTCCTGCAGGATCCGAGTGCTACGAACAATTCAATTCTAGGGGCTCCTTAAGTGGACATTGTGGCTACGATTCAAATACAGATGGATACGTCAAATGTGCACGAGAGTAAGTAGTTGTAATAGATATTAGTAATCTATAATAAAAATGTATAGAAGTTTGTGATCCACCGAGATGCTGCCGTGTATTAAATACACTTGCACTTCATTTATATTTTCCAAAGGACCAGATATATTTATATATTGGCTATATCAGACCGATTAAAAGATGATATGTAGTTTAATTGTTGTGTATTTAAATATTACGATTTATAGATGATATAGTTACTTAGATGAAGTTTGAATTATTACTGATGTTTGTTAGATGAGATTTTAAATATTACTAAATTACAAAGATTTTACAATTTTATATGATTTTTCTGATTGGTTTGTTTTTGTGGGTTCAATCGACATCCCATTACATTTTTGACCAATTAGGTATTAACCGGTGACTCCATGGTACGTGGATTAAAGATTCTTAGAAAAATGGATTCATGGTATGATGATAGATTAAGGGACAGGATTCATAAAAATGAAAGGGATTATTTAATGGTACTAAATTATATAATAAGGGATGAGGGTTTATTATTGAGTAAGGCGTTAACAGCTATGAATGTCTAATTTTTTTAATTTTTTCCAGTCACGTTCGTTGTGGATCTTTGCAATGCAGCATGGGTACGAGACATCCTGTCCTGGACGGAATGGTTAACCAGTCCAAAACTATTATCAGTATCAAGGGAATTGAGTACGAGTGCAAGTAAGTTCTATATCTATATTCATTAATATTTATATCACGGATACAGGATTAAATTTAATAATTACATAAAAAAAATTATCTTAATTGAATTAATTACAGTAATATACAACTATGAAACAATATTAAGCCTAACATTAGTATTATCTAATACAATAACTTGAAGAAAAAAGTGAAATGAACATTGAATTAGTTTATTTAAGGCTTGCAAATCTTGATTATTCTTATCGTAAAAAAAATCCTTTAAATATCCGTTATGCGATTTTTATTTGAGTCCCATATCTGGAAAATTCTATAAATTTTATCTTTTGCTCGTCAGTAGAATCCTTTATTTTAATTCTAGATTAATTTGCTCGTCAGTAGAGTCCCTTTTTTGTATATTTTAGCTTTAGCTCGTCAGTATAGTCCTTCTATTAATTTCCTAGCTTTTGCTCTTATAAGAAAAAGTGAGGAAACGTATTTTGCAATATATGAAAATTAAAAAGGACTCTACTGACGAACAAATAAAAAACTACCTAGAATATGAGAAAAGGACTAATGACGAGCATAATGAAATGAAAAACATGAGACGAGAAAAAAGGACTCCACTGACGAGCAAACTTAAATTAAAAGTATGAGACGAAAGGACTCTACCGACGAGCAAACTGAAGTACAACCCTAGGATGAAAAAATGACTCTACTGACAAGCAAAATGATACACAGAACATGAGACGGAAGAAATACAATATAAAAACAGACTCTACTGATGATTAAATTAAATAGCAATTTTGAAAATAAAAAAGGACTCTACTGACGAGCAAATTGTGTTTTAAAAGACACGAAAATGGACTCTACTGACGATCAAATTAAAAAACAATTTAGTAGATAAGAAGGGACTCTACTGACGAACAAATTGGTTCTCAAAATCATGAAGAGGAACTATACTGACGAGCAACTTAAAAAACAACTTAGAAGATTAAGAATGACTTCAAAGGTTTATAGAAACTACTAATGAATAGTATAGAAATAATTTTTAATCAATAAACTTACGTTTTGTATACGGCACAAATGTTTAATTTGTTTTATTATTTTCAAGGAACAGAGTGAAATAGTCTTTTGATTCAGGCATTTTTCATTAACTCAAGATTTGTACTATGGTGTAATTTTAAAATGCTTATTTATCTATCTATGTCGATTTTCTTGTTGATATCGGTACGTATACAACGACAAATCTCTATTCACATAGTCGACGACTAATCACAATCGACTCATATAGAAATTATGTCATCGAGAGCAAATGACGAACAGTTCGGGCGTAACGGATTTTCGTTGCATTTGTACAGATTTACACCCTAGTCGCGTCTAAAGAAGTTTTACTTCAAAAAATTTACAGAGATCTGTATAATTTGGCAGATCGTTTATGTAGATGAGAAATAATAATGGTCCGAGAATTGAGCCCTGAGGGACACCGAGCTTAATATTTTGTTTGTCTGAGATAATTACTGAACTACGATTATTAAGATAAACAGATTGAGTCCTATTTGATAAGTAAGATGAAATGGTAGAAGAAGTCAAATAAACGTTATTCAGTTTTATCAACCAACACCTCGAAGTGTCTTGCCTCTCTTGCTTAGTGTTTTTGGAGCCTTGTATGCTTTCTAAGTATAATATATATAATTGATTTTTATTACCAGGACTTCCAGTGGTCGTCCAGATTCCTCTCAGTCTTCGACGTCGATGCTGGGCCTGGTTCGAGACGGCACCAGCTGCGGAACCGGAAAAATGTGCCTGAACCAGACCTGTGTCCGGGTTCCTCCGAGCATTATGGGCCGTGGCAACTGTCCGGTAGGACTCATCAATAACCAGCAGAGCGATCCGGGAAAGGGCGACAGCGATCAGGAGTGCTCCGGAAACGGGGTAAGATAAAAGTTAGACTAGTGGTGTATGGCATCGTGCCTTAAGGCAAATTGCTGGAACTTTCCGTACCGTAATGAAATATTCGAGAAATTTTAAACGTTAATAACAAATACTGTAAGGTTGATTATTTTTGCCATCTTGTTATATCTGAGCAAATCAAATGTAAATCATAAATCATAAATCAATTTATCTCTAGAACATTAACAATCGTCATTTCATTTCAAATTCAATTACAAAAAAAAAATAGTTGCCGAGCAAATTTCAATGTCTAGAAGAAAAAAAAGGACTCTACTGACGAGCAAAATTAAATTTAAACCTCAAATATAAAAAAGGGACTCTACTGACAAGCAAAATAAAAAGCGACATAAAAGAAAAAGGACTCACAAATATACACACACATTTTTCCAATATTGGTCTCATACGATTCAGAATGACTTTGAACGTCAAAAAAACATAAAATTAACAAATTTGGATTTTTTAGCAAAGGGACTTGACTGATGAACATATTGAAATGTCAATACAAATAGAGACTTTACTGATGAAAATATTGAAAAAAGGGACTCTACTAACAAGCAAATTAAAGTGTCAATAAAGTAAAGGAACTTTACTGATGAACAAATTTAAAATGTCATTACAAAAAGGGATTCTACCGACTAGTATATTAGAAAAAGAACTCTACTGAAGAGCGTATTAAAATATCAATACACTAAAGAACTTTACTGACGAGCAAATTAATTTTTAAGTACAAGAAGGGACTCTACTGACGATCAAATTTAAAATGTCAATGCAAAAGGAATTCTACTGACGAGCAAATTTAAAATTTCAGTACAGAAAGGGACTCTACTGATGGGCAATTGAGAATGTCAATAGAAATGGGAACTCCACTGACGTACAAATAAAAATTTTAGTACCGAAGGGACTCTACTGACACACAAATTAAAATATTAATAACAAAAAGGGACTCTACTGACGAGCAAATCAAAATTCTAATACAAAAAGGGACTCTACAGACGAGTAAATTAAAATTTCAATACATTTGCAAATAATGCTGAGCGGCAATTTCACATTTTCAATACATAAACAGTCTAAACGCACTTGGGTAAACATTTGTACCAGAGTGGCGCTTAGACTGGGTAATTTTTTGAATTTTTCGAATTTTGATTCAAAATTGCAAAAATATTTTATGGAAAATAAAAAAGATGTAATAATTTTTTATCCTCAAAAGCAATTGTTTTGTCAATACAAGCATAAAGTTTTTTAGATCATTCAAATCGGACGCTTAGTTCACTCAAAAACTGCCATTTTTTGCACATTCAGCTCTGTATCTCCGAAACCGCTGGGCGTACCTTTGCCAAAATCTAATCACCTCTTCTCCCAATCATTACAAATTGAATGCTTTATAGATCATTCAAATCCGATACTCAGTTCTCTCAAAAACTCGATTTGTATTTTCTGCACTCTTTGCTCCATATGTCCGTAACGGTTGGACCTGCCTTTGCCAAAAACTAATCAGCACATTTCCCTATCAATAGGAATCGAATGGTAAATGAATCATTCAAATCGGTTGATCTGTGCGCCCGAAATCGTCGGCAGAAAAATTCGTTTTCGCACATATCCATTTGTCTGAGGTATGTCAGCAAAACGTTCAGAAACCTTCAAAACGTCGAGAAATGCAAAAATTTTCATTTTCTATAACTACCCTACGGAAAGTTAAAAATCAATTAAACCGATTAGGCCACATTGTTATATTTTTACTGTTTTAGGTGTGCACCAACATGGATAAATGTTACTGTTACCCTGGCTGGAGGGGCGCCGATTGTTCCGAAAGGGATGATTTGAGTTTGCTCAAGGGCGGCGCAACCGGAGGCTCCGGAGGGTCTGAACAGAAGCCCCCGGAGATTGAAATGAAAATGGAAAAGAAAGAGACTGCATACGGTGAGTTCGATTTATATTGCTTTTATATGTATGTGGAGGTTTATATATACATCTTTTAATACTATCACAAAATACCTTGATATATATATTTATATATATATATATATATATATATATATATTTATATGACTTTTCCAGCCTATAATATTATACATATATACTACCATATTACTATTATATATACATATTTCTATTAGTTTATTTCGATGTGTTCAATCGAGTACTCTGAAATATAAATCTTGCTGTGCTATGAACTTTATATGTACAAATATATATGAGTGGGAGTGATTTTTAAAATTAATTTTAAGTGATTTTTACTGTTTTTGTCGAATATTCGTTGTAGATGTGAAATCATGTTGTCATGAGTGTATGAAGATTTAGAGAGTGGTATTCATTAAGTTATAATTTACCAAGACAATTCAAAGGTTTCCCAAATGATATATTTATTTTTCGAATTGTAGTCATATATTTTTAAATCATATTTAGATTTATATGTAGAATTTTGCTACCGTTTGATATCAAGTTTTCCAAGGCACTAAATGAATTCTAGATTTTTTAGTTATTTATAATTTTCTCAGAGTAACTACAACATTTTCAAACAAATTGCAACATTTTTAGACCATCAACATTATTTTCAAACGATATACCAACTACGATATTTTTCAGCTATCTACAACATTTTTAGGGAATCTACAATATTTTTAGAAAATCTGCAACATTTTTAGACCATGTACAACATTTTCAGGGTATCTATAACATTTTTAAACGATTTTTACGATTTTTAGACCATGTACAACATTTTCAGACCATCAAAATCATTTTCAAACGATAAACAACATTTTTGTGCTATATACAACATTTTCAGATCAACTACGATATTTTTGGCCATTTACAACATTTTTAGCGAATTTACAACATTTCTAGAACTTCTACACCAGAATATACAACATTTTTGGACCATGTATAACATTTTTAGACCATCTACGATATTTTTAGAGAATCTACAACATTTTTAAACGATCTTTAAGATTTTTAGATCATATATACAATTTTTAGACTATCTACCTTATTTTTAGATCATGTACAACATTTTCAGACCTTCTACAACATTTTTAGACGACATATAACGTTTTAGACCATTTATAACGTTTTTAAACAATCTACAACATTTCTATACCTAGTGCAAATTTCTCTTAACAAATTATAAAAGGATTTACCAAAATCCGAACAACCGTTTAGTAGGAGTTTGTATTCGTACATCTGTATAGTGACAGTTTTCATCTGTCAAATTAATGTCAAATAATGATATATTTTTCGCAATTTTTTCCCCTATTTCTATATTATTTCAGCTCATTGCCACTATTTTATTTCCCTTGACAAATTCTAAAATGATTCATCTGAATCCGAATAATTGTTTAGGAGGAGTTTGCATTTTTAAACAACTTAGACAATTTATAACGTTTTTAAACAACATACAACAGTTCTAGACCGTGCAAATTTCTATTGACAAATTATAAAAGGATTTACCAAAATCCGAACAACCGTTTAGCAGGAGTTTGTATTCATACATCCATATAGAATAATTTTATATCATCATTTCAGTTCAAATTTCAATTGTAATAACATTTTTGTCTCATCTGTCAAATTAATGTCAAATAATGATATGTTGTTCGGAATTTTACTATATATTATTACATTACATATTTACTCCTACATTATTACTATATTTTTTTAGTCCATTACCATTATTTTATTTCCCTTGACAAATTCTAAAATGATTCATCTAAATCCGAATAAACGTTCAGGAGGAGTTTGCATTTTTAAACAACTTGCAACATTTTTATACAATTTACAACTGTACATTTGCTTATATAGGGTATGCCATCTAACATTTTTCATTTTCTTTTTTTTTCAACGGTCAGCCGAGGCTTTTTTTCATTTTTGAATGAAATTATTATAATCATTATTAACGAAATTAATTTCATTAGTAACTGAAAAGATTGTACTTTCAAATAAAAAAAGAAATTTGAGAAAATATTCAGTAGTTTGTAAAAAAAAAATATTTGGGTATGTCATCTAACATTTTTCATTTTCATTTTTTTTTCAACGGTCAGCCGAGGCGTTTTTTTCATTTTTGAATGAAATTATTACAATCATTATTTACCAAATTAATTTTATTAGTAACTGAAAGGATTGTACTTTCAATTAAAAAAAGAAATTTGAGAAAATATTCAGTAGTTTGTAAAAAAAAAAATATTTGGGTATGTCATCTAACATTTTTCATTTTCATTTTTTTTTCAACGGTCAGCCGAGGCTTTTTTTCATTTTTGAATGAAATTATTATAATCATTATTAACGAAATTAATTTCATTAGTAACTGAAAAGATTGTACTTTCAAATAAAAAAAGAAATTTGAGAAAATATTCAGTAGTTTGTAAAAAAAAAATATTTGGGTATGTCATCTAACATTTTTCATTTTCATTTTTTTTTCAACGGTCAGCCGAGGCTTTTTTTTCATTTTTGAATGAAATTATTATAATCATTATTAACGAAATTAATTTCATTAGTAACTGAAAAGATTGTACTTTCAAATAAAAAAAGAAATTTGAGAAAATATTCAGTAGTTTGTAAAAAAAAAATATTTGGGTATGTCATCTAACATTTTTCATTTTCATTTTTTTTTTCAACGGTCAGCCGAGGCTTTTTTTTCATTTTTGAATGAAATTATTATAATCATTATTAACGAAATTAATTTCATTAGTAACTGAAAAGATTGTACTTTCAAATAAAAAAAGAAATTTGAGAAAATATTCAGTAGTTTGTAAAAAAAAAAATATTTGGGTATGTCATCTAACATTTTTCATTTTCATTTTTTTTTCAACGGTCAGCCGAGGCGTTTTTTTCATTTTTGAATGAAATTATTACAATCATTATTTACCAAATTAATTTTATTAGTAACTGAAAGGATTGTACTTTCAATTAAAAAAAGAAATTTGAGAAAATATTCAGTAGTTTGTAAAAAAAAAAATATTTGGGTATGTCATCTAACATTTTTCATTTTCATTTTTTTTTCAACGGTCAGCCGAGGCTTTTTTTCATTTTTGAATGAAATTATTATAATCATTATTAACGAAATTAATTTCATTAGTAACTGAAAAGATTGTACTTTCAAATAAAAAAAGAAATTTGAGAAAATATTCAGTAGTTTGTAAAAAAAAAAATATTTGGGTATGTCATCTAACATTTTTCATTTTCATTTTTTTTTCAACGGTCAGCCGAGGCTTTTTTTCATTTTTGAATGAAATTATTATAATCATTATTAACGAAATTAATTTCATTAGTAACTGAAAAGATTGTACTTTCAAATAAAAAAAGAAATTTGAGAAAATATTCAGTAGTTTGTAAAAAAAAAAATATTTGAGTATGTCATCTAACATTTTTCATTTTCATTTTTTTTCAACGGTCAGCCGAGGCTTTTTTTCATTTTTGAATGAAATTATTATAATCATTATTAACGAAATTAATTTCATTAGTAACTGAAAAGATTGTACTTTCAAATAAAAAAAGAAATTTGAGAAAATATTCAGTAGTTTGTAAAAAAAAAAATATTTGGGTATGTCATCTAACATTTTTCATTTTCATTTTTTTTTCAACGGTCAGCCGAGGCTTTTTTTCATTTTTGAATGAAATTATTATAATCATTATTAACGAAATTAATTTCATTAGTAACTGAAAAGATTGTACTTTCAAATAAAAAAAGAAATTTGAGAAAATATTCAGTAGTTTGTAAAAAAAAAAATATTTGGGTATGTCATCTAACATTTTTCATTTTCATTTTTTTTTCAACGGTCAGCCGAGGCTTTTTTTCATTTTTGAATGAAATTATTATAATCATTATTAACGAAATTAATTTCATTAGTAACTGAAAAGATTGTACTTTCAAATAAAAAAAGAAATTTGAGAAAATATTCAGTAGTTTGTAAAAAAAAAATATTTGGGTATGTCATCTAACATTTTTCATTTTCATTTTTTTTTCAACGGTCAGCCGAGGCTTTTTTTTCATTTTTGAATGAAATTATTATAATCATTATTAACGAAATTAATTTCATTAGTAACTGAAAAGATTGTACTTTCAAATAAAAAAAGAAATTTGAGAAAATATTCAGTAGTTTGTAAAAAAAAAAATATTTGGGTATGTCATCTAACATTTTTCATTTTCATTTTTTTTTCAACGGTCAGCCGAGGCGTTTTTTTCATTTTTGAATGAAATTATTACAATCATTATTTACCAAATTAATTTTATTAGTAACTGAAAGGTTTGTACTTTCAATTAAAAAAAGAAATTTGAGAAAATATTTAGTAGTTTGTAAAAAAAAAATATTTGGGTATGTCATCTAACATTTTTCATTTTCATTTTTTTTTTTCAACGGTCAGCCGAGGCTTTTTTTTTCACTTTTGAATGAAATTATTATAATTATTATTAACTAAATTAATTTCATTATTAACTGAAAGGATTGTACTTTCAAATAAAAAAAGAAATTTGAGAAAATATTCAGTAGTTTGTAAAAAAAAATTATTTGGCGGACCCTATAATATTCTTGTGTATAATTTGGGCAGAAATTAATCTTAATCATCTGGAATACTGAAATAAGTTCTTAGACAGTTGTAATTTTACACCAAACAAATAATAGTAACTTTATAGCAACAGGGCAGTGGTTTTGAATTCAGTGTGAACAAATTTGTGTGAATGATTGATTGAATTATTTCAACTAATCCTCCATTACCAAAAGGAACCAAATTGAATTTTCAATTACCAAATGGTACAGGTGAAGGTGGTAATAACAATTTGAGCACATTGACGATGGTCTTCATCCTGGTGGCGGTCGTCAAAGGTGTCTTCATATCATTTGCCCTGATGGCGGTGTGCTACAGGTACAAAACTAACCTCCAAAATAACCAAAACCCCGAACAAACAAAAAATTCTATACATTTTCAGCAAA